CAATTCTGTGGCCCTAAGTAACGTTTCTGTGGCCCTAAGTAACGATTCTGTGGCCCTCAGTAACAATTCTGTGTCCCTCAGTAACAATTCTGTGTCTGTCCCTAAGTAACAATTCTGTGGCCCTAAGTAACGTTTCTGTGGCCCCCTGTGGCCCTCAGTAACAATTCTGTGGCCCTCAGTAACAATTCTGTGTCCCCAAGTAACAATTCTGTGTCTGTCCCTAAGTAACAATTCTGTGGCCCTAAGTAACGTTTCTGTGGCCCTAAGTAACGATTCTGTGGCCCTCAGTAACAATTCTGTGTCCCTCAGTAACAATTCTGTGTCTGTCCCTAAGTAACAATTCTGTGGCCCTAAGTAACGTTTTCTGTGGCCCTAAGTAACGTTTCTGTGGCCCTCAGTAACAATTCTGTATCCCTCAGTAACAATTCTGTGTCCCTGAGTAACAATTCTGTCTGTCCCTAAGTAACAATTCTGTGGCCCTAAGTAACGTTTCTGTGGCCCTAAGTAACGATTCTGTGGCCCTAAGTAACAATTCTGTGGCCCTAAGTAACAATTCTGTGTCCCTCAGTAACAATTCTGTGGCCCTAAGTAACAATTCTGTGGCCCTAAGTAACGATTCTGTGGCCCTCAGTAACAATTCTGTGTCCCTCAGTAACAATTCTGTGTAACGATTCTGTGTCCCTAAGTAACAATTCTGTGGCCCTAAGTAACGTTTCTGTGGCCCTAAGTAAAGTAACGATTCTGTGGCCCTCAGTAACAATTCTGTGTCCCTCAATAACAATCTGTTCTAAGTAACAATTCTGTGTCTGTCCCTAAGTAACAATTCTGTGGCCCTAAGTAACGTTTCTGTGGCCCTAAGTAACGATTCTGTGGCCCTCAGTAACAATTCTGTGTGTCCCTCAGTAACAATTCTGTGTCTGTCCCTAAGTAACAATTCTGTGGCCCTAAGTAACGATTCTGTGGCCCTCAGTAACAATTCTGTGTCTGTCCCTAAGTAACAATTCTGTGGCCCTAAGTAACGTTTCTGTGGCCCTAAGTAACGATTCTGTGGCCCTCTCAGTAACAAATCTGTGTCCCTCACTAACAATTCTGTGTCTGTCCCTAAGTAACAATTCTGTGGCCCTAAGTAACGATTCTGTGGCCCTCAGTAACAAATCTGTGTCCCTCAGTAACAATTCTGTGTCTGTCCCTAAGTAACAATTCTGTGGCCCTAAGTAACGTTTCTGTGGCCCTAAGTAACGATTCTGTGGCCCTCAGTAACAATTCTGTATCCCTCAGTAAAAATTCTGTCTGTCCTGAGTAACAATTCTGTGTCCCTAAGTAACGTTTCTGTGGCCCTAACTAACGATTCTGTGGCCCTAAGTAAACGTTTCTGTGGCCCTAAGTAACGATTCTGTGGCCCTAACTAACGGATTCTCTGTCCCTAAGTAACGTTTCTCTGTCTGTGTCCCTAACTCTCTCCCTGCAAATACAGCCAGGTCTGCCTCTGTTGAATGACTGGAGGCAAATGGAGAATTCTAAAATGGCCGCTATTTATAGCTCGACCATTACACTGTGCTGGCTGGCTGGCTGCTGATTGGCTAATGCGATCACATGTCATGAATGAATGCATTATGGGTCAGCGCGCCTTGTCTGCGCGCCTTCCCAGACATCCCCGCTCCGTCGCCGCACATGTCGCCGCCATTTTAGGAAAAAATTTCGATTCGCGCATCCGAAGTCTGCTTATTTTCGGATTCGACGCGAATCGAAATTTTCCTAATATTCGAAACGAATTCCACTTCGCCTACTTCGATTCGCTCATCTCTAGTGATTGTGTTTGTTTGTCATGTGAAGGGGAAATTTTGTTGGCATTGTTTGACCTGTGTTGTTGGCAGTGTAATATTTAGGGCATGGAGAAATTAATTTTAAAGTGCGCTATATACCGGAATAACTGGAAGTCACACAACAAATTAAGTAGAGATATGAGGGGATTTGTTAGGAAGAGCAAGATATCATCAGCAAGGCAGCAAGTTTATATTGTCTGTTGTTAATTCTTATACCCTAGATATCCATAATTGCACGTAAGCGAAGTAGGAAAGCTCAAGAATAAAATAGGATAGGGGATAACAGGCAGCCTTGGTGGGTGCCGTCGTGGATATTAAAGGCGTGAGATAGAAAGCCAATAACCCGTTGGTGCCAAGTCCTAAGGCGTTTAAGGCAGCTTCAAGATAATCTCATGCCAGCCTGTCAAATGCTTTTTCTGCGTCCAGGAATAAGAAAAAACCTTGTTGGCTAGATTTGGTGAGCCAGTGGTGGATCTTTTATTGCTTTTAGGGTATTGTCCTGGCCTCCTGACCCGGGTACAAATCCCACTTGGTCCTTTGCTATGAGGTTTGTGAACATGGAAGTAGTTTATTTGCGAGTATTTTAGCAAATAGCTTAATGTCAACATTCAACTGTGATATTGGCCTATAATTGGATGCTATGGTTGAGTCTTTGCCAGGTTTGGGATATAACTGATACGTGTGCCTCAAGTAGGTTGTGTTTGTGGGGGAGTTGGTTTGGATAGTTGATTAAAGGCTCGTAGAAAAGGAGATGTCAACAGGTCCGGGAAGGTTTTATAGTAAGCGACGGAGAAGCCATCTGGGCCTGGGCATTTCCCTACTTTCATTTGTTTAAGTGCTAATATGAAAATCCTCGAGCTTTAATGGGCCATCCAGCTTAGTAGCCATTTGATGGGGTATTGGATTGGGACTAAGAAAGTCTTCTAGGATTACTGTGCGTGGTCTGAACTCATCAGGTGGCTTCGTTTCAGGGAGTAAGTTGTATAATTCAGCCTAGAATTGTGCAAAGTGGTTTGCGATCTCTTCATTAGATATGAGTATTTGCCCTTGCGGTGGTGTGCATATTTGTCTGCTCGTGGCCTTGACCTTTTTAGTTTGTAAAGCTCTTGATAAAAGTCTCCCATTTATATTACCAAACTCGTAGAAGAGTTTCTGTGATAACAGGTACTTGCGTCTGACCTTATAGCCTATTTCTGCAGTTAAGAGAGATCGGGTGTGTGTCAGGTCTGTATGTTTTTGTTGGGACAGCGTCCTCTTGTGTGATTCTTTTCAGATTTCAAAATTTTGTGTAAGGGCATCAATAGATTCTTGTGAAATTAGTTTGCGTTTTGCTGCCATGGCTAAAGAGATCCTTTATATAACACACTTAAGAGCTTCCCATTGAGTAATAGGGTTAGTGTCTGGTGTGTCGTTATTTGAAAAGTAGGACTCAATGTGCATACGTAGGGCATTAGCGTTTACTGGGTCAGTTAGCAAGGTAGCATCAGATCTCCATGTTTTAATATAGGATAGACGTTCCAGGAAATTTAGGATCATAGTAATAGTGCGATGGTCCGATAAGAAGATCGGTTCAATGGATGTGGCTTTTAAGAACTGGAGGTCTTTTTGTGTGATCCATATGTAATCTATTCGTGAGTAACGGTTTTGGGGGGGGAGGGGGGAGAAAGTGAAATCCCGGCCTTCAGGGTTGAGGGTACGCCAGGAGTCATGGAGTAGGAGCTTGTGCAGTTGCCGTTTAATCTGTCAGAGAGCCCGGTATGGCAACAATGAGGTATCAGAAGACGTATCTTCGAGGGGATTAAGCGCTAGATTAAAATGCACTCGGCAAGAAAGCAAACTCACTTCTCACTAAAATCATCAAACAAAAGCGGCTAAAAACAAAATTTCCACAATTCAACACCCTACCACACACTCTCCCCTTACAAAACCCAGGATTATAGCTAACGCTTTTGCGTCTTATTACCAGAACCTCTAAAACATAAAAGACGACCAAATACAACCCAACCTACAGTTCTCTCTATTGAAAACTTTCTACATGACGTCAACCTTCCCCGCATTACTACATCTCAACTCAAATCTCTCTCTCCGTACCGATCTCACCCACAGAAATTGAAAAAAACCATAAACACCCTACCTGTCAGGGCTCCAGGTATGACCAGAGGTGTGTGGACCGACACAGGGAAACACAGACTTCAGGTATAGCGTGTAACACAATATAATTTATTAAAGACAACACAAACATAAACGCAGTGCAAATAATCAAACTCAACACTTACATAAATATGTACAACCAGGTGCAATAAACCTTAAACGAATAGGTACCAGTGCAGTCAGGGCTGGAGAGGTGGAGCGGTCAGGCAGGCCGAGCCCACAGCACGAATTTCCTCAGGGCGCGGGGTCTAAGTCCCAGCCTGCTATTCACCAGGGCCCCTGATGGTGGGGATGGACTTGGTGCAGACTGGAACCAGGTCGCGACCCCTGAGTGCATCCGGCTGTGGTAGCGAGTACTGGCAGGGGAGTGCAGGAACGGAGTCTGATGGGAAGAGGCAGGCAGACTTACTAGAGGTGATCCGTGCGGGATGGATGGATCGTCGGATAAAGTAAGCGTAGTCAGACAGGGCCGGGTCGGTATCGTGCGGGCAGCGTGGTACAGGAGGAGCAAGCAGAGAATGGTCGGTCGGGGGTCACAAGCCAGGTTCAGCAGGTAGCGGGCAACGCGGACGGATTAGGCAGGGGGGTACCGAGGATCAGGCAGAAGGATGGTCAGGCAAGCCAGGGGTTCAACAGGAGATGGTCAGCAGAGGTCAGGATCAAGCAGGGTCTGCAACGAGGCAGGAACACAGGATACCAGGTACAGGGGCTCATGGGAAACATACACCAAGGCCCAGATCACAGGCCTGGTCATTCCTTAAATACACCTCCTGCAATCAGCCCAGGTGTTGGCTGACTACAGGAGTGAGCTTCTGGCTGCTGAGAGCACCCGCTGGTCAGCTCTGGTACTGCAGCCCACACGGCAGGTGAGTCCCACCACCAGTGCTGAGTCCATTTCTGACAGTACCCCCCCTCAAGGAGCGGCCTCAAGACGCTCCAAACAGTCCTTAGTGGGCAAAATGTTCCACCGCCGCCGGGGTCAACCGATTGGCTGGGTTTCCTGCTAGCATACTTCTCTTTATGTAGGGGAACCCAGGAAGGCAGGTCGCTGGACACAGGATTTCCAGGAGCAGGCTGGGAATCAGTTATTGGCCAGTTTAGCTGGGCAGCGGACGGAGGCACGTCAGGCTGGGCAGCGGACGGAGGCACGTCAGGCTGGGCAGCAGACGGAGGCACGTCAGGCTGGGCAGTGGACGGAGGCACATCAGGCTGGGCAGCGGACGGAGGCACGTCAGCGGGCACCGAGTCATCTGGCACGACAGCGGGCACCGAGTCATCTGGCACGACAGCGGGCACCGAGTCATCTGGCAAGACAGCGGGTACCGAGTCATCTGGCAAGACAGCGGGCACCGAGTCATCTGGCAAGACAGCGGGCACCGAGTCATCTGGCAAGACAGCGGGCCCCGAGCCAACTAGCAGAACCATGGGCAACCGGTCACCAAGCTCGACAGCGGGCACCGAGTCATCTGGCATGACAGCGGGTACAGAGTCATCTGGCAAGACAGCGGGCACCGAGTCATCTGGCAAGACCATGGGCACCGAGTCATCTGGCAAGACTGTGGGCACCGAGTCATCTGGCAAGACCGTGGGCACCGAGTCATCTGGCACAACAGCGGGCACTGGCTCACCAAGCTTGACAGCAGGCACCGAGTCACCAGGCACGACAGCGGGCTCCGAGTCAACTGGCAAGGCAGCGGGCACCAAGTCATCTGGCAAGACAGCGGGCACCAGGTCATCAGGCATTGGATCATCTGGCTCGACAGTGGGCACCGGGTCATCTGGCTTGACAGCGGGCATCGGGTCCCCAGGCACAACAGCGGGCACCGGGTCATCTGGCACGACAGCGGGCACCGAGTCATCTGGCAAGACAGCGGGCACCGAGTCATCTGGCACGACAGCGGGCAACGAGTCATCTGGCAAGACAGCGGGTACCGAGTCATCTGGCAAGACAGCGGGCACCGAGTCATCTGGCAAGACAGCGGGTACCGAGTCATCTGGCAAGGCAGCGAGCTCCGAGTCATCTGGCAGAACCGCGGGGCACCGAGTCATCTAGCACGACAGCGGGCTCTGAGTCATCTGGCACGACACCGAGCTCTGAGTAATCTGGCAGAACCGGTGGGCAACGAGTCATCTGGCAAGACAGCGGGTACCGAGTCATCTGGCAAGACAGCGGGCACCGAGTCATCTGGCAAGACAGCGGGTACCAAGGAATGGCCTTGGTGTAATGTCAGGGCTCCAGGTATGACCAGAGGTGTGTGGACCGACACAGGGAAACACAGACTTCAGGTATAGCGTGTAACACAATATAATTTATTAAAGACAACACAAACATAAACGCAGTGCAAACAATCAAACTCAACACTTACATAAATATGTACAACCAGGTGCAATAAACCTTAAACGAATAGGTACCAGTGCAGTCAGGGCTGGAGAGGTGGAGCAGTCAGGCAGGTCGAGCCCACAGCACGGATTTCCTCAGGGTGCGGGGTCTAAGTCCCAGACTGGACTGGAACCAGGTCGCGACCCCTGAGTGCATCCGGCTGTGGTAGCGAGTACTGGCAGGGGAGTGCAGGAACGGAGTCTGATGGGAATAGGCAGGCAGACTTACTAGAGGTGATCCGTGCGGGATGGATGGATCGTCGGATAAAGTAAGCGTAGTCAGACAGGCCCGGGTCGGTATCGTGCGGGCAGCGTGGTACAGGAGGAGCAAGCAGAGAATGGTCGGGGTCACAAGCCAGGTTCAGCAGGTAGCGAGTAATTTTTGGCAAGTAATATATTACTGGAATTTTGGGGTTCTTAATATAAAGATATTTTGCTTTTTCATCATATGGGACTCATTTTGGCCTCTTTTTTCATTCAAAAACACCAGACTCATTCCCCTCCTTAATCAACTGCTTTAAATAGTTTTTTAGTCCCTTAGTAGGATTAGATGTCAAGAATTTATAAGTGTCCTTAATATTCAAAAGTCTACTCATCTCCAATTCATAATCCTTTTTATTCAAAATCACAATACTTCCTCCCTTATCTGCTCCTCTAATAACAATATCTTTTCTTTTTTCTAAATCTTTAATTCGTTGTATAATTTCTTTAGGGGTATACTTTTTATTTTTTAGATCCATATTTTTGATATCTGTCTCCTATCTATTAATATTAATCCTACTAAGGACTAAGGTGTCGGCGGACACCTCGCCGACGTTCCCTGTAGCTGTCGGCGAGGTGTCCGCGGTGAACGGAGTTCGTCCAGTCTTTGTATCCTGTCGCTTTTTATACCAGTGTCAGGTAGAACACTTGTTTTGTGAGTAAGATGAGATTTTAATAAATATAAATGGTTTTGACTTACTGCACCATCATGCCTTTTCCTTTATTTCTGAGTGATATTGCCATATATTTGGAGGATGATCGATATATAAAGTGGTCTTGGCCATACTTCAGAGTGGCTGCAGAGTATTGCTCCTGGTATCTGGATGATTTCAAACTACAGAGTGTTGCTTCATGATTTGGATTCTTTCATCGCTCCCAGAGCAAATACGCTTGTGCTGATTTATAATTTGATCAGCATTGAGTCTCTGGTGAGTTTTATTCCATTCATCTGGTGGTGGATTGAGCACGGTGAATTTATATGTTTAAGAGAGAAATTTCTTTGGGGTGTTGGACTTTTTGCACTAAATTATATTTATGGACTGTTACACTGGGGATTTTGGTTATACATTGAATTTATGATGTTGATCTTTTTGCATAACATAGGAATTTTTGATATAAATTTAGCGCATTCCTAATTTTTTTTTTTTTTTATTTACACCAATATTTGGGTTAGAGGTTTGCTGCTTGATAGGATTGATATTATTGATTGGCGCTTTCTTTTTCTTTTTTGAAATTTTACAAAGCATTTGCACCCAATCTTAAATCACACCTATCTGCCCTTTACAATCAATGTCGCCTCTAATGGGGAATTCTCCCCGGACATGCTACAATCAATAATCACCACTATCCGAAACCGGGCAAAGACCCTCAATTAGCCCAGAATTACAGACCGATCTCACTACTTAACATGTACATAAAAATATTAATCCAAAATAATTGCCCAATATCCATATCTACCTACCTCCATTAATCCACCCAGATCAAGTGGTATTTAATCCCTGGTAGACAGGCTCCCGACGCTACTAGGTGAATTGTATCACTGCTAACATCATCTTGAATACGACAACCGACCCTCCCTCCTTCTATCACTAGATGCGGAAAAAGCATTTGACCGAATTCACTGGCAATTTTATGACACTTACACTCCAAAAATTTGGCATAACAGATTGGATGCTTTCAGAGCTCCTTTATCCCTCTACTTCCAAACCTACTGCCAGAGTACTAACTAATTGGCACACTTTCACAACCCTTCCTCATATCCAACGGAACCAGACAGGGTTGCCCCCTTATCCCCCATAATTTTCGCTTACTTACTATTGAACACATAGCAACCAACCTCAGAAAACGATCCAAAATTTCACGGGGAATTGAATTTCTCAGCAATGATGACATAAAATTTGTCTCTTCGCAGACGACATTATTCTAATGATAACAAATCCAATATAAGTAACTTCAAGCGATACGCACGCATATCCACAGTTATGCAGGAGTCTCATTATTACAAAACTCAACTAACCCAAATCATCAATATTAAATCTGTATACATCCATGGTAACCCAAAACCTACTCTCTAAACAATTCTCTTTTACTTGGGGAAAAAACACAGTATCCCCCTATCTAGGGATTTAAAAACTCACCGCCAATACTAACCAACTTTACACGTCTCTAATTACAAACCATTACTTGAAAATTATCCCACAAGAACTTAAGAGTTTATGCACAGCTACTTTGTTGATATTAGGCAGAAATAGCAACTGCCCCCGTAAAAATGTGCATACTACCTAAATACTCTACATTACATTTTTCGTACACTCCTATCCCAGCTCCTCACACCTTCTTTTCTAAACTCCAAGCGATAGACTGAACGAATTCGTATGGAATTCGAAAAGACACTAGATATACCACAATTCTCCAAATACGCCCATTCTCCAGAGGTGGAGCTGGTCTCCTACACCTAAAATCCTACTACCATGCTGTCATACTGGACCAACTCTTCTTCTGGTGGCAACCCCACCATGAAAAAATTTGGACCGTCATGGAAACTTTCTTGTACCTACCACATACTATAACAGGATATGTTATTTATACCCCGATCAGGCTCAAACTAAAACATCTACATAAGTACCCCCTGCTATACGAGCTCTTTAAACAGCCTGGCATGACTTCGTAGCTTTCAACCAAATATACTAAAAGGACAATCTGCAAATCCCTATTCCACTCTCATCCCTGCACTTTATCATTCACCCACTTAAACATACAAGGTGGGAAAAACCTTGGCATACATCCATATTCAGGACATTTATACTCATATGTAAACTAGACATCCTCTACGCTTACCCAAATAGATTAATTCCATTCTTCCTGACAACGAACAATTCACCCTATATGCGCATAGCCCACTCACTCCACAAAACGGAATATGCCACTCAAAATGGGAATCCCTGCAACCCGCACACCAATTTTTCCATTAGATACAATCTACCCCAAAGAAAGGAATCTCAAACTTTCTACTCACTTATAACTAAAACACAATTTGCTACTTATACTTCATCCTTAGCCAATTGGGGAATAAACAATCTTCTCCAACCACTAGCCCACATTTATGGGAAAAAAGCTTTCACCATCACCTTCAAGGCCTCTCGAAAATGTTCCTCCCACCTGGGAACATACCTGAAAAATCTCCTTCCATCAAGGGTATTTAACCCTTGACATTGCTTTTGATCATTCAGTCATCTTGCTTACATTTACATTAAAGAGGCACTTGTAGGTCAGACAAATATAACATAACAGTTATAATGAAATAACCACAAATGTCTTTTCTGTGCTCACAGCATTATCAGTTTTATTCAACCCCCAAGTGACATTCAATCTTAGTACTTAGTACAGCATCCTTTTACAGTTATAACAGCTTTTAAACGTGAAGCATAGCTTGACACAAGTGTCTTGCAGCGATCTACGGGTATCTTCGCCCATTCTTCATGGGCAAAGGCCTCCAGTTCAGTCACATTCTTAGGCTTGCGCACTGCAACTGCTTTCTTTAAGTCCCACCAGAGGTTCTCAATCGGATTTAAGTCTGGTGACTGCGATGGCCACACTCCAAAATGTTCCAGCCTTTCCTCTGCAACCATGCTCTAGTGGACTTGGAGGTATGCTTGGGATCATTGTCCTGTTGAAAGGTCCAACGTCTCCCAAGCCTCAGGTGTGTGACGGACTGCATCACGTTTCCATCCAATATCTCCTGGTACTGAAGAGAATTCATGGTACCTTGCACACGCTGAAGCTTCCCTGTACCTGCAGAAGCAAAACACAGCCCC